TAAAAATGCTGAAAAGTGTCCGTACCTTTGTAGGTTTGGATATCGGTTGGTTTCCTTCAGCACCTTCCACAAAGCCTTCTCCCTCCCAATGAGGTAAAATGGCCGCCCCCCCTTGACCGCACTTTAGCAGGCTGCTGTATGCCAGAAAAGTGGGTAGTCTTCAGGCCAATCATCTCCCATAATCATCATAATAGTAACTGTAAGACACCCACCCACCCTCCCAATAACAAAATCCCCTAAATATGTACTGGTACTGTATTGGTAGTTATAACACTAGGGGATGGGGGGTGTCATTGCCAGGGAAAATCATCTATTTTCGGCCCTACATAATCCTGGCTTCCATCCTGGTTTCCATCTCATCTTCCATTTCATTCTCCACTACTCCAGTGTTTGAAGGTACGCCTCCCTGTCCCTGTATATCCCTACGGGTAGGGGATTACCCTGCAAGGCATGGGCCGTATGGAACGAGCATGCAGGACTGTGCAAGCCAAACTTACTCCATGCCCCAGGCAGGCATTTTTCCGCCACACTACTGTCGGTGATCTATGGAGCTCTAGTTATATAGAATTAAGTCAGGTTCTATAGTGATACATCGAGTTTAGCGACTGCGGAAAATGGTCACAACTTGGAATATACTTCACGCCAGACACTGGCAAAGAACACGGCCAGTGCCAGACACGGAAACAAAAAAAAGGCCAGATAAGGAATGTCCAGAGTGTAACGAAAGATGGATCTGAGGGCCCCGGCACCAACATGTCTACGGTGTAGTGGAAGCGCGCTGCAGCCACCAACACCATCTCAACAAGAAGGCAAAGTATGCAGAGCATCGCCACCTCCGACAGAGTCATGCTGGGTCCAACATCTTTTCTAGGGTTTAGGGAGGAATGTAAGGTTCTATAATGTTATATATAATGTTATATAAGGGGGATATAGTGTATAGGGTTATATCGGTTTATATAGGGTTATACAGGGTTATGCAGGGAGAATGGAAAAGAGAACGGAAGCTACTATTCCTTTGGATTGAGAGTCTTTGGACCCTGTGCAAAGGAGGAAGGAACCATGCGTGGCAAACTGGGTAATTGATGGGATGTGCTCCCATGCTCTCCTCTACTCGGGCTCAGAAGTCCCAACCAAACCCTCCAAACCGGTGATCGTTCTCACAACGGAAGGCAGAACTCCTAACTGCAAAAATCACGTATGCTCAGTTGGGACGGGAACGGATCCCTGCAGTAGCCCAATATTCCCACAGAGCCACATAGTTTCCCAGCTAAACATGAGAAAGAACTATCACAAACAAGCATTTTGCAGGCCAGCTGCGAACCACTGTGCCTAAGCAGCGCCCGGGGGGGTGCGGCTTGTACTACCATTGAGAAGTCGGGCGCATGCTTACTGCTGAGGGTCTATAATTAGGGTGGGCTGCAGCTTCATGGAATGCAGAACATGGTATAGGGGTCCTAAAGGGTCGAGGGTTTAGGGCTTTTGCCACTTGCAAGGTAAATGCCGGTTCGAGGATTTTCCAGTCGCTCAAGCTAGTAGGGGGCAGGGCGAAGGCCTTGGAATCCCTAAATCCAAGCGCCACCCTCTGTCTAAACCCTACAGGGGAGAAGGCAAAGCTGACAATCGATCAGTCGGAGGCCCCGAGGAACAACAGGAAGAGATACAGGACTGAACCATGCACGGTTTAGGGTTTAGACACGCGCATTGCTCACAGCAGGCACGGCAGCAAATGTCCCGATCGGTCTAGCCAGCTGATTCAGCCAGCCACGCTGAGCTACTCCACTGCTATCACTAGTCACACAAAATTTCAAGTAACAGCATCACACTACTCAGCCAGAAAACAACACTACCCTGTTTACCAACCACAACAGTCCCCACTCTCAGAAGTGCTGCTTCACGGCTTACACCAATGAAGCAGGTCTCCACGCTTTCACCAGCAAAAACACCAGGATGCATACATGCATGCACTTGAAAACGTCCAATGTCAGGTTTAGGGTTTAGGGCTTGAGGGCTTGGGGTAGAGGATTGAAACGTAGACTATAAGACAATACGATCCATCATGAAGAGTGAACTTCTTGCCAAAAGGCCAATGCGGGGTTTCCCCCAAAAGTGGGGTCCTTATCATGCAAGGATTCTAGCATCTTGGAATTTGTGAGGGGACAAGAGGTAGTTTCCCTACACACAGAGACCTCAACGTATCCCCCCCATGATTTGCCCATGATTTTATACTATGATGGCGCTTCAGACCCCTAACAAGGAACACCTTTTGTGCCTAAACCCTGAATCCTATGTTCCTAAACCTCAAAATGGAAAAGCTCGAGCAGTCACGCTTCCTTCTTGGGGAAGTCCACTGCACCTGTCAACTTGTAGGCCGCAAGTGAGAACAAGGCGGCGAAGTACCTTGGTAAGGGTCATTAGTACTACTACGGTTCAGGTAAGGGTTTAGTGCCAGTATTCTTTTTCCCACTGCCACTACTACCATTACTACGTATTCTTGGTACTTCAGGCCTGTGAACCCATGTGTTCCTATGAGTCGTGATGATGCCAAGGGGGTTAGCCAAAGCGATGCTGCTCCTCTGCCCTATTTTGCAACTGCATGATAGTTCAGGCTGCATATAGCAGTGCTCCAGCCATATCCTCCATCCATCCCAAGCAAGGAACCGAACTGAAGCGGACAATGATTCAGATGCACAGGGCTGCCACTTACCTTTCCCAGCAAATCCGGATTCCATGTGAGCCATAGTCTAAATTCCTAGTATCACCATTAATAACCCCTAATATAATCCTCCATATGATCCCTTGTTTACGTAACCCCCTTTTAAAGAATTTAGATTCTAGCTCATGTGACACCACATTGGAAGCTGTCAAGAGTCCAGAGCTGTGGTTGCAGCTGAGCAGCGTGTGGCCGGAAACCATCATGTCCTTAGATGAAGGTGTCCCAAGATCAGGAATACCCTATTCTGGGGGCCCCCAGAAAAGGATTTGTAGTATTTTGGGTTTAGACATGCGCATCGCACAGGGTTTAGGGTTTAGGGTTGGGGTCTGTATTTTGATGGCCTATTTTTGGGGAACTACCAAACAGCAGAAGCTCCAAAACCTTCTTGCCACCTTCAGCCTACAGCAGCCCCGACCTTGTAGAGAGCCCTAGACTTCCTGGCAACCGTAAACTGGGTTGCTGTTGAGGAACTTAAGCTGATTTAAGTTGTCATACTGAGTATCTATAGTAATTCGTATGGCTTCCCCAATATAGTAACTCAAATAAAGCCCCTTAACAGCAACCCAGTAAGCCATGAGCTGTTTTGAATCAGGAGCTGGGGAAAATATGTCTGGAAGTGAGGCTTCCTCATAAGGTTTGAGCCTTGTTTTAAACCCGGGCTTGAGCGACTGCCGGAATGCAACCCTGAAGACTCGTGCTCCAGAGCTAACGACCACGTGACGATCTCTCCATGCAGCCGTATCAGTAGACCACGTGCATATGACAGAACGGCGATAAACTCTAAACATCCCTATGAATACATGCACCAAAAAGATGGCCACCTTGCAACACCTCCTGCAGCATGTGAAATCATGCGAACCTGCAACTGCACAGCTGCCAGCAGAGCTGACAAGGGCCTCTTAGGCACGCTGGGCAGCTGTTGCACAGTAACAATGCCCCTGCTGCGGATTTATGGCTTGGCCAGTTGCATGGCACCGAAGGCATGACAAGGATTTAGGGTTCAGGGTCAAGGGCTGCTGCTGTAGCTGTAAGAGTAAAACTAAAAATTCTCTAGCCGGCACGATTGTGCAAACATGCTTTCGTCCAAGATGCGGCACAATATCGCATCCGCTTTCCATCAACGCCGACGAATTCATCTATTACTGCCTGGGGCATTTCCGGCATGTGCGCTTGCTTCATCGGAATTCTAGATGCAAATGCCTAGAAGTTGTATCGTCAAATAATGACATAGTGCAAGTCAGCAACACGCTCACTAATTGGCAATGGCCGGCTGAACCTGGCTTTGTCATTTCCGCGCCTCCCATAACGTGTGCCAGAAGTTTGTGAACCAATGACGCTGTCGGAGACGCCTTGCCGGAAGTACTGAGCCTTCTCCTACCCACTGTAGCAAGAAATAGGTCGCTGGAGCATGAACTCGGAAACTGCGGCAGCCAAGACTCGACGTAAAGCGACAAAAGCCAGAAGCTTGAGAAGAAACATAGGGTGTCTGCGGCCAACAACTAAGGCAAGCGCACCAGGGACGCTTCGCCAAGTCTCTCTTGGCACCTAGAATACCAGATTGCAAAGTTGCCAGCTTCTTCAGATACATTTCCAGATTTCGGTGCTGCTAGCTGACATTTGCTTCGTCACTCCAAGCAGTCTGGAACTGAGGGCTCGTGTGTTGCCCGAATGCATGCAGCCGGGCTGCTGCTTCCAGCCAATTGAATCAGGAAGGATAGTCACGAGATCAAGGAGGCCCTTCATGAGCGCCATGCCTCCGCGCAGGGCCAAACACGAAGAAACATCATCACATGGCACATGCCAAGTTGAACAGGTCTTGAACTGAGCAAAGAAAATTCAAGCATCGATCTTGCGGCCAGGCCGCAACATGCCACCAGAAATGTTTTGTACCAGAGACCGATGTGGAATCTGCCATGGTAGGCTGAGGCGCCAAAGGTGAGCCTAGAGGCACAAGTGGTAGTTTCCCAGAATAAGGGAACCCCAATATAGACCCCAAAATACTATAGTCCTTATTAATGGCACCCTCAAAATGGTACCCCTACTTCTGGGGAAACCCCCAAGTCACGCACAGTCTCCGTCTCATTCCACAGCCCTTGTGGCATTCACTTCAACCAATCACATTGTTATGTCTTTGTAAGATATCAGTAGGAAATATTTTACAACATAAACCAAAGGCGGTTCCCCCACTAGGACCCCTTGTACCATCCCCCTTTAGTTCGGCTATTTAAGGCTGATCAAGGGGGAAACTGGGGGGTTGACATGGACGAAGCCCATCCTTTGCCAGAACTCAGGGGCCGACGCGCAGAGGCCGGCGGGAATCATACCTAGATTCCACGGGAGATGACAAGTGGAGGGGTTGGCTTTTGACCCTAAACCCTAAACCCTGGTCAGTTTAGGCATTAGGTTTTCGGACCTCAACCTTAGGCCTCATTCTAAAACTAGATCCGCAGGCAATCCGCCAGGCTTTGTCTGCCAAGCAGCCGGATAAGTCTAAGAGCTTCAGGGGGATCTTGAGGTTGCCATCACGAACCTTGAGTGACAGCAACGGCTCAAGCACGCAATGTCTTACAATGGAGTAGCGTTCTCCAGCCACTAGTCGTCAAGCTTCGATGTTCTCGCTCAAGGTATTGCAGTATCTACTCATGTATGCGAATAGATACTTCCAGATGTAGAAGTCCACGTATTTGCCCCCAACACAGTATAAAACAATTTATGAAGAACCCCCCAAAAACTTGATTTTGAGAAACTCCCACATGGAACTTTCTCAAAACAGCGGGGTCTTGGGGACCCTGGGAAAGCACAGACAGTACAAAGGCAGAATTATCCCTGTATAACCCCGACATAACTATACAGAACCCTATATAATCCCGATATTTATATGTATGTGCACATATCTAAATAAATGAATAAATAAATATATACATGTATAGACACATGTATATGTATATATGGACATATATTGAAACATAAGCATATATATGCATGTATACATCCATGCATACAATGGATTTGGAAAACTCTGATGTCACTCCTTGACGATGAGGGGCAGCCTCACCCTCTCCTGCTCCTTCCCTTGGCTGTTCGTTTTTTTTGCAACGGCTCTTTTACGTCTGCACGACGAAAGGCTTTAAGGGGTTTACTGGTTTAGGGCCTAGGGTAGCTTCAACACGCACACATCACTTGGCTTGAGGGTTTAGGTTCAGGGTTCTTGGAGCTTGCATGGCTTGAGGTATTTTAGGGTTTCTTAGAGTTGAGATGTCTAGGGCGCATGATGGAGTGGATACCTGCAGTGATGCCTATGCGTGGATTTCGTCGCCATAGGGATAGCCTATGATACCCTCACTCAGCGGGATAACGGAACACAAGGACATGATAGGGCCTCTGCCTTGCCAGTGTGAATTTACCTGAATTTGCTCCCAGACTCCTTGAGTACAAATAAGATCCATGGCATGAGTATTGCGGAACTTGGTTCTCGTGTGCTTCCTGAGGTTAAGGGCATCCCGCCCTGATCAAGTGCGGAGTGCCCTCCCGAACTACTTACATTATTTGAGCATTTCTCACCTCGCAAGCGCCCCAAAACAGTTGCGAACGCTAAGTTCGCCTCGGCCCTGGAACGCCCTCTTACTTCTGCCTACCCTCTTCATATGTAGCGGTTGTGGTGCTCAGCAACAATATAAACAGCCTCGATGATACCTCCCAGCCCCTCCAAGACTCCTAGCAACTTTTAGGCAAAGAGTACATTGGTAGTTTCCCAAAATAAGGGGACCCCTATATAGACCCCCATATACAATAGTCCTTATTATGGGGATCCCCAAGAAGGTACCCCCTACACCCTAAACCCTAAACCCTAAAAACCCTAAACCCTAAAAACCCTAAACCCTAAACCCTAAACCCTAAAAACCCTAAACCGAGTACATTGACTTCCCTTTTCCTGCGCTCAGCTACCAATGGCCCTGGCAGCTTGTGACGGAGCATCCCGACGGCTGGATCCAATACGTGGTGTTTGGATGTAGGGTGAAGGGGTACTGGGTTTAGGGTTCAGGGTTTAGGGTTTAGGGTTTAGGGTTCAGGGTTTAGGGTTTAGGGTTTAGGGTTCAGGGTTTAGGGTTCAGGATGAAGGGGTACTGTAACCTGCAACATTTCCTCCCTTGGCGGCATCTCCCACGGTCAGAGCATCATCTCACAATGATAACTTTACCTGCATCCTGACGGCTAATCGCTTCCCCCTAATACTAAACGACNNCCCCGTAATAATAAATAATCCGGGTGGTCAGAAATTATTTGTTATTAGGGGTGCATATTTATTGAAAGGATTTGGTAGGGCCGCCTTTAAATTCCTTTTAAAATCCATTAAAATCGAATTAAAATCCCGTTAGAATCAATTAAAATGTGATTAAAATGCCTTTTAAAATCAATTAAAATCGACTTAAAATCCCGCAAGAATCAATTGAAATTTAATTGAAATTTCTTTTAATATCAATTACAATCGAATTAAAATCCCGTTAGAATCAATTAAAATTTGATTAAAGTTCCTTTTAAAATCAATTAAAATCGAATTTAAAATCCCGTTAGAATCAAGTGAAATTTAAGTAAAATCCCTTTTCAAATCAATTAAAATCGAATTCAAATCCCGTTAGAATCAATTGAAAGAATTCCTTTTAAAATCAATTGAAATCGAATGAAATTCATTTGAGATTTAACTAAATACGGCTAAAACTGTAATAAAATCATTTAAAGTCGCATTCAGTTCTTGTATATAATCCTTTATAAAACCATATGAAAATCAACCAAAACCTAGGATGTCAAGGGGATCCCTAATTCCTTTGGATTTTCTATTATACCCTCCTAATGACCTCAAAACCCCCCTAATTCATTATGGTCTGGCTCCTTTTAAAATTCGTGCAGCCCCTTTTAAAATGCTCATGAGGAATTTTCAGGGTCCCGGATTTAGTATTTATTACTAGGGTGGTTTTATTAATATGAGGAAGAGATTACTTCCTCGGTGCCGGTGCTGAAGCGGACGGTGCGAAACGTTTGCAATTCAAACTCGCCCGCTTTGCTGCGAGGCTCCATGCATTGATAGAATAACCTCTAAGGGATTTGGAACCCCAGTAGAAATTATAATTTCAGCTAAATATTAGGATTCTAGGTAACAGACATGAAAAATTGTTTTCAGGAACCTTGTAGTAACTGCGAGAACTGATGGACTTTTCCGATTCTGAACAGCGGTGGGGATGCGTGCCTTTTGCCCTACTTCCTCCTGCCTCGCCTGTTACGGGATGCTGCCACGAACTGCTGATAGGTTTGGGGGCTGTAGCCGCTCTAATGAAGTTAAACTTTCGACTAAGGCTCCTTGCCACGAAGAGGTGGGACACAAGATCGAACATCTCACCACCTGTTCAAGGATTCGCTTGGCTTGCCCAGCAAACATGTCTTCTTGACAAGGTGCTCTTTGATTCTTACAAGTCAGCGCAGCTTCCCAATTCACCCGTCTCGGGGCTTCTGTGTCCACTAGTTGCGCGTATATGGCATTCTGCTTTGTTTTGCCATTTTGCCGCCGGCCTTCGACGCTGGAAAGCTTGACTTTGTTAGCGGAGTCATCCGTGCCAGTAGCATGCGTCAAATCATCCAAGTCATTCACGATCCGATCCTGCCGTTTCAGATCAAACCACACCAGCACAATGCAGGGCCCATATCCCTGCCATCTGACATCATCTGACCCTGACCCCAAGCACGGTCCATGTACCGCACGTATAGGGCAGTGGTGACATGGAGGAGAAAGCTCTGCAGGGCAAAGCAGAAGAAGAACAAGGCCATCGGATAGATGACATAGCGCACCTTAGTCATGATTTGCCTGGTTAGAAGATTTAGAAGCTGCTCATTGCTTACTGGGACTGCCAGATGCGCTTGATCATCACTGGCGACGTCTGACAGCGCAAGCAGCACAAGCTCCTCATCATCATCAGCATAATCGGCAGCATCAGCATTACCGTCGTCATCAACATCGCCGTTGTCATCATCATTCGCGATGCACAAATCAGAGTTGACGAGTCACCTTTGTGTTCGAGTCCGTCCTCAGCGGCTTGTCCCCATCATCTAACGCCTTCAGTCGAGAGGCAGCGCTGAATTGGAGAGAACGCAACATGGGGAGATGTGGGGTGCGCTGCATTGCAAGAGGGAACGACGATGCCTTCTCGGAGAGAAGCCGTTTGTAGGCTGCACATCTCCTGACCTTAGACAAACTCGTGTGCGGAGGCATGAAGGGTGTTGCAGCGCGCATGTAATGGTTCTAGAGTTGATGCACTGGCCGGGCGCCTGGCTGCAGCCAAGTCTATGTGTGAAAGATCACCTCAGGCTGCAAGTCAGCTGCGTCCACACTACAACACCAAGCGCTTGCATGTCCTTGCGTGGCAGCCAGGTGGCTGTAGATCTTTGCAAGCGTCATTAATCTGGCCGTCTTGTCTCTGGTGCTCTGTTCTTTGATGCCGCTTTCCAGTTCCTGCTGCAGGATTCAATTCAATTGCCATCATGGCAAAGCCTGGCACTGGTGCCTCTTTGCACACCAAAATGGGGGGTTCCATGCAAAGGGGTGCTTAATATAGAGCCGTATTATAAAGCCCTATATAGTTTTGTCCTTCATGGGACCCTGAACTTGCAAAATCCGCAGCTAACTGACAAAAACAGCGCAACAGGAGCCTGAAGCTCGGGCAACTCCATGTGTGCCTGCAGACATGCAGCCTAGCACTCATGTGAGCCATACTCTAAACTCCTTAAAGGGGGATATATATGGGATTATATAGGGCATTGCTATAGGGGTTATTAAGGGGGATACTAGGAGTTTAGACTATAGCTCATGTCTGACTGGCCGCACTGCCGACCTTCCGTTGTTTGGGAGGGTTGATTGGGTGAGCTTGCGGGGAAATGCACAAACATGACAAACATGACCCTCTTCGACTCTTCCATCAGGTGTTTTCCCAAGCTATGAATCTACTCTGAAGAGCCCTTTCGGACTGAAAGCGAGATGCGGAGAAGTTGTCTGTCAGCAGCTTCTTCGCAGCCTGGCAACAGCACCCCATGGGAGCTGGCATGTCTTGAACAGGAAAACCCTACTGACCAAGGGGTATGACTTTGCAGTCTAATGCGAGTTCAGGCATGCTTCGTCAGGACGACTCAGGAGTGCTTATGAGATACACACGCAGAGCGAAGACGGCTCTTGAACAACACACACACACACACCTCTGCTCACATCGGCAGAACTTGCACGCTGTCTCCTGCTCTGTTGCTTCACTTACTCATCTCACCCTGCGGCCCGGCCTCATCCTTGACGTTCTTGAATATGCCGCTGCCTGCATACGCTCCTGCGGCCTGTCCCTGTCCCTTAGCATCCTGCGCCATCACTTCACTCATAGCTTCCCATATATCCTGGCAGACCTTGTCAACTTTCTCTTCCATGACTTCGTCCTTCTCCATAGCAGCCTCCGGCTCTGTCTTGCCTGGTGGCGAAAAGAGGGAGAGTGACGCTACAAAGGACACCCTGTTACTGAGTCACAGTGCTCAAAAGACTCCAGCCTGCTAGTCTTTTCAGGGGGCACACCGGATATCGGGCTATCGCCCAGCGCGCCTGCACGATGCAACCGGTTGCCCATCTCTCTCGAACAGTTTCCCGGCCATCAGGGCACAAACATCTGAACTTTGGCGTAACTCCATTCACCACACTAACGAACCTCAACTTTCTGCTTCACCTGGGGATGGACTGCATCGCGCCTGCATCCCATATGGGTCAGCTTTGTCCGGTTTGAGCGGCCTGTTGCCTTGCGATTGCAAATGGTAGGTTGTCAAAATTGCGGTCCTTTTGTGGGGTTCCCATCAAAATGCGCCCCTTGGTATTCAAGGTACCCGAAAAATTCTACTTTGACAACCTTCCAAAGGAACATCATTTGTCAGCCGCCGAACACAGGGCGGTCACCGAAGGATACAGACGGGCTAGAGAGGAAACTTCACAAATGACCACAAAGTCCCAGCTGCTCTCATGGACCCTATGGATGGGTTTCTCTGTGTCATCCATCTCCTTTACTGATGCAGCATTTGGCGTCGTCGGGCGATCAGGATGAGCCATGTCCTTGGTTCTAGTTCTTCCTCCATGTTCTGGCCTTTCCCAACCCAAAGCCTGCCGATTTTAAGGTCTTGCAGCTTAGTAGTTGGGTGCTTTGACCTGCTTCTGAAATGTTCAACATCGTTTAGCGGTACCCATGCTGGCGATGTCCAACATACTTTTCCTTTTGCTCTGCCTTCTCCTCCTGCTGCTGCTGCACTACAACTAGTGTATCCCTGTTGTTACTCCTTCTCCTGCCACGGATGATGCTGCTGCTGCTGCTGCTGCTGCTGCTGCTGCTGCTGCCGTCGCCGCCGCTGCTCTTGCTACTGCTACTACTGCTGCCACTGCTGCCACTGCTGCCACTGCTGCTACTGCTGCTACTGCTACTGCTACTGCTAGTACCACCACTACTTCTGGTCCTTCTACTGTTGCTGCTATCATACTACTGATACCACTGCTGCTGCTACTGCCGCTGCTGCAGCCGCTGCTGCTGCGGCTGCTGCTGTTGCTGCGGCTGCTGCTGTGGCATTTTTGGCTAGAACTGATTACGACAACGACAACGGCGCGCCGTTCCGGAGGTTCGCCTGGAACCCATCCAGTCAAAACAGTGCCTGTGAGAAGGGATCAAGTTTGTTAAGGCCTAACAGCACTCCCTTCAGGGATCTTCAGTGGCTGCCAGGGGCAACTTGCACAAGTGAGCTTTTAGCGCTAAGCCAAGGATTCCCTACTCTTCTGTAGCAGACCCTTCATGTTGAAAAACCGAGCTGGTAAATAACATCAAACCAAACAACACAGCCAGACACCCTGCCTCTTTGTCTGGTCAGAGAGACAGAAACACCTTCTACGGAACAAATACCTCAGACCAAGATAGGGCCTAGATTCACTTGATACTTGTTCAAAAGGCCTGTTCCCAAAATGGCAACAAGGTAAGTTTGTGCAGGTGTATTCCCGATGGCCCCTTCGTTGCAAGGAGCTTTAGAACAACCCCATGGGTTCCTTAGGGGGGGGGACCCCCCCGCAAGTACTCTTACAGCCGGTTCCGGAAGAAAAGAACTTCATTTCTCTGGCATCTTGGCAACCCCTAACATGGTACTAGCCCCCCCCAAGGACATTTCACCTGTATGAACACGTTGCAAGAGACAGCGGACGCCGGGATGGCCCTAGAGTAGGTGTATACACTATACAGTGTGTAGGGTTTGGCCTCCAAGCTCATGGCCCTAGCGTGGGTGTATACACACTATACGGTTCTGGAACCCCACAAACTTTCAACACTAATACGGCAAAAATGCAGAAACTTGGAGGGGTTTCCCATGAATAGTCCCAAGCTCTGGACGGGATTTCAGTATTGTGAGTACTTGGGACCATTCAGGCTGTTCGGAAGCCAAATTTGTGCAGTAAAAGCTGTTGGGTGTACTTTAAAGAGCCCCCACGAAAGCCCCAACCCGGGTCCGCGTTATTTTGGGCTATGCGGAACCTACGGTTACGGAACCCCATAAACCTTCAACCCAAACCCTAAACCCAAAAACACATATAACAACAGTCACTGAGGCACAGGAGTTGTCTTTCCTAACGGCCCGACCCTGGTCCGTGCATTGGTCGTGGGATTAGCGCTATTCATATTTTCACCACTATGAATACTATTACTAGTATCACTACAACGGCTGGTGCTGCTAGCGTCATTGTCATTAGCAATTAATGCTATTACTACATATAGCAAAACCTGCGAATAATACTATTACGACTACATCTCTACAGATACCTACTGTTGCCACCATTCCTAATATTACCCTTCTTCCTACACGTACTAGTATTACTACTATTACTACATGCACTACATATGTTACCTATTACTAATACTTGGTACCATGATTACCACTACAACTGTTGCTACTATTTCTTAATTCCCGATTACTACTACTCCGACTACTACTAACGATAGTAATAATAATGATTCTGCTACTACTGTTACTGTGATTACCTCTGTTACCACTATTACTTGTTCCGAGGTGGATCATGGTTCAACTGGCGGGGTACCCCCCCTGGCGAGGCCTTAGCTGAAATGTACTGGGGGGGAGGGGGGGGGGGTCACCCCCCGCTTTTAAGGAAAAGAACTTGAAAAGAACGTGCTTTAATGTACCCACACCCTTGCCTTGTTACTTTTTACGGGACCCATACAACCCCCATATACTTTGAAGGAGCTTCAGAACAACTCCCATATAATCCCTATAGAATCGCTGAAAAAAAAACTATAAACCCCCCATGTAAGCCACATGCAAGGCCAAGTGGCTTGTTGCGAGGCGCTGCTTGCAGGGGGGATAGCCAATGTTCCATGGCCAGCTAAGTTATAGGGTTGAGCCATCCAGCAGCAGAACAACCCATATGAAGGTTTCTCATTTTTGCTCTCTTTTTTTTGGGTGGGGGGGGGTCCCTATAATAAGGATCATAATACTTTGGGGTCCATGTTGGGGTACCATGTCAAAGTGAGAAGGCTGCACCTCTTCTGCTACACTTCCTACTGCCGCAGTTTGCATATGCATGTCTGGGCAACATAGTTGCCTAGATAGAAAGACATTGAATTCTGGATACTCCACCGTCATGAATCAGAAGTGCGTCCTCGAACTTCTCCTCAGTCGCGTTCATCAAGGTTCTGACAACCACAAAACTGGATGGAATGGCCATAATCCTTTCAAGTCCTGAAGTAGTGACAATGCGTAGCAAACCGCACAATGTTTTGGTGGTCAAGAAACGCTATTGCGCTACTAGTCGCTCGCCACTCTTACTTGCAGCAAAGTTGACAAACGGACTATCCAACCTTCCAAGGCAGGTCACCCTACGCTGACACATGAATCCTGGCGTTTTGAATTAATTTCAGAAACAACAATCAGCCAATTTGTGACTGTTTTCTTCGCGAACCACCATTTGGGGGTGTGGCCAATACAGCCGCGCAGCTCTCTCTTGGCAACTACGTAACTATAGGAGACTAGGAGACTACCTGGTTCGAACTTGCATTTCCCCGACTTAGCTCATGTATACGGTAGATTCCCTAAACGGAGAGACCCCAATACAGACCTGTAATCCTTATGTCTTTTGGGAACCCCCAACGGCCCCATTTAGCCGCGGCTCTCCACGCACAAACACCAGTCCAGAGCGTCGCGGAGGTCGAGTGGGCCTCGGTTTGGATCGCTGTCTTGGCTACTCCAGCACCTCATCCACACCCCGGCAGTATAAAGCAAAAAGCAACCCACCCGCTGCTACTCACAACCTTTATCACATCACAATGCAATGATAGGACGTGTTGTACAGGTGGGGCCCGTGGGTGGGCCACAGGGGAAGCACTCAAAAGCTGCAGCTCAGGCAGGAACACCACGCGCCAGATCTTACCTGGGTAGACAGCTATTCAGGGTGAGGTCCGCTAAGATTCGGCACCCGTAAGCAGATGTGGGTAGGATTTTTTTAAGCTGGCGGAACCAAGCCAAACTACGTTCTCCTTGTAAACACCACAGCCGAAGGAGGACATTGACTTCCTCAAGATTGGGGACCATAGTAAAACGCTACTCATGTTGTTACTGACTACAGTGCCGCTGGCGCTAGCTGCCATCAAACCGAGCACTTGGTCTTACAAAATCTCCTACTACCCCAAGATTTACGGCACAGCTGCTCATTAAGTCTACAGATTGAAGCACAGGCATGCGTTTGCTTGTGTTTCCCGGGGTTGCTTCTACGCAACTTCAAGTAATTTACCAGTAATGGGTTGTTCTCGTAATTGATACTTTTTCCCCAAAACAGCAACTTTAATTAAATTCCTTAAGTCCTCCCTAAACCCTTAACCCACTTAAACCTTATAACAGCAACCCAGTCATGATGGAGCATTGGAAGTCAGCGTTCCTGCGCGATCAAGGTTCACCGTCTCATTGCAAACTCTCCAGATTAAGGCCCGCATATGAAGTAAGTATAGGGTTATATAGGGACTACACAGGGTGTATATTGGAGTTATAATATAGGGTTCTATAGGGGCTTTGTAGGGGTCATATTTGATGTAGTCTGAATACGGGTATCCCCATTAATAAACCCTGTAGTAGTCCCCTATATAATCCCTTATGTAGCCCCCTTCATGGAGTTTAGACTACAGCTCATATTGAAGTTTCTCAAAATCGGGTCATTCTCAGGGCCTAGGACACCCTAGGGATGCATCCGGGAATATTAGAGGCTCTGCCGGCAAGGCTCCCATATCCTGGGTTGCTGTTAAGGAACTTAAGTCAAGCAACTCTATTGGGGGAACCCGATTATTTACTATATATACCCATTCCGGGAACTGAGTTTAAGTTTCTCAACAGCAGCCCAGTATGCTTTCCCTTCCCGGATGACAGGAACAAATGCTACCCAGTTGCGACTGCAAGCTTCCTGTGGCGCCGCCATCCACAATTCTGCTGACAGATGTAGCGCCTCAGGCACAGTTGGATGTGACAAACATCAGCCCAAGAGACATCTGCAGCTACGCTGTGCAGCTGCAGCCATGACAACCTCTGCACAACCTCTACAGCACAGCTTTTTCCTGGGGGTCCTCAGAGATCCACAAGTTTAAGGCATTAGTCATGCTTCCAGGCGCAACGTTTGGAGCTTCATGCCCACAGCCTTTAGAAGCAAAAGCCTCCTGACAGATCTTTGACAGTGCTTTTATAAAACGGGCAAGGCGCTAATTCTGGCACATTTGCCAACGACTATAACCAGAATAGCAGTCATAGGCACGCATGTCACCAGCCGCGCCAACTGAATGGCAACTGGACCTCCTCGTCCAAGCTCGGCTTTTTCTGGAAAAAAATTCAAACAGAGACATGTTGTCCGAAACCAAGATTTTTCTAGGTGGCCTGAGGTGCTAGACCTTGCGCAGACGAGTGCCGAGTTCGGTCTTTTGTGCCAAGCTCGGCGGAGACCCTTGCCCATGCGCGCACCGACTTCAGACTTATGAACGCCTCATTGCTACTCTGCCGTTTGTGGCGGCTTTGCCGACCGCTAAAACATGACAAAACTCAGTACGGATGGCGCTGACCGAAGCCAGGCTACTACAAGGTGTCTTGAAAAAAAGGATGCTCGCCCAGCTCACTTGAACTTGATGCCTGGGCTGTTCTGCGGGCTGCGGCCTCATGCCTTCTTAAAGTTTGAAGTCGCTGTCCTGCGACATCGTCTCGGGGTCCCCGCTCATGGCCTTGGGGAAGACGTGGGCAATGTCGTCACCCTTAAGCTTTTTGTCGACCTTGTCCTTGTCCGCGTCCTTTGACTTGCAACAGAACAAGTTGGCGAAGCCTTTGAAAATCTGAACAATGGCCTCGCCAATGATCAAGCCGAGCGCAAGAGAGATCGAAGTGACCATGAGGCCAGCAAACGTATTCTCCTGAAGTGATGGATCGCTGGGCGGGATGATTGTCTGGAACCACATTTTGGCGATCATTGAGCCAGGCACGAGCTGGTACACAGCCGGCATGAGCATGGCCCAAATGTTCATGGACTCCGCATAAACGATCGTGTCCAGCAACAGGTCTTCTTCGTGTGGATCTAGCCTGATCTCGCTACGGGGATGCGAGGGATCCTTGAGCTCTTTTGAATGCTGGTAGATCTTCTTCTCCAGCTCGACCATGTCCTTGTCATGCTGCCTCCCGATCCCAATGCAGTTGAAGAACTTCACGATCGCGGAGATGCACCCATAGACGACATCGTCCAACATCGAGTCGGTCTCGTCCCGGTGTGCGCCACGCTGGAGGAGCTGGGCATAGTAAGTCGAGTTCACGAAATCCATAATGGCCGACAGCGTGCACGCTGTAACGACGCTGGCTGCAGCGCCACAGACGTTCGAGGCCATCACATCCAGGTTGTCCTTGTCGCTGGCACTGCGTTCAACAAAGTACCTGGACACCTGAAACTGGGTCTCGTAGCCAGCGAGCTGTACAAGCAAACCGCGCCAAAACTGCTCCAAGCGGAAGCGGTATTGCCCCAGGACAGCAGTTGAGCACGCCAAGTACAAAGGGACGCGCCACCAGTGCGCGCTCAGGTCAATGGTGGCGCAGTTCGCAGACTGAGCCTCCCAGACCTCGGCAGGATTTGGCACCGCCAGCATCATGCCAAAACAGGCCATGACACAGAGGACAAAGGTTTTGATGCTCACGGCCATGAACCTCGTGACACCTGTCTCGAGCTCCCCAGCCAAGATCTCCACCAGTCCTACAACAAATGCAGTGCCATAGAAAAACCAGTACAAGGTACCCATGAAGATCGAGGAAAGGCAGTACTGCTGCCCATCGAAGCGATAGAAGAGGCTGCCAATGAAGCCGGTTACCAAGCCCACTGCCAGGTCAATCAGCAGGGTGGCCTCCCCGCCAACCCTCAGTAATCCATACTCAATAAGGCCCGTTACCAGGCCGCACAAGGCCGCAACTCCTGCCTCCTTCTCCGTGCCCCCAAAAAAGATGACCGCACAGGTGGAGGACATGGCTGGCAAGACTATGAGCCTGCCAGGGTAGTCACGGATGAACAGACCGGTCTTGGCGGTGTGCTTCCCTTGCTTTGCTTCCTCCTGGAAGAGGAGGGCCTCGTGGACGGTAAGGTGTCCATTGTACAGGGCAGAAGCGATTCTCATGAACATGTCCTGGAACTCAGAATCGTAGTCGTAGGGCACCTTGCGCTGGAGCTCAAAATCCCCGTCCTCCATGAAGAACTTCAACTTGATAACGCCGAGCTCCCACGTCATCGTGAGCCCAACCATTTCTGAGCACTTCTTTAGGGTCTTGGACGTCAGGAGGGTCATGTTCCAGGCACGGTGCATTTCCATCGCCGTCTGCATGTTGAAAACAAACAACATGGCGTACTCCTCATCAAACCTGTCTTTGAGAGATGTGTAGACCCTGAGCATGTCAGCCGGGAGGTTGCTAGGGTCAAAGCGGCGCTCAGCAAAGGACACGGTCTTTCCTGGGTTGCCGGTACCGAACTTAATTTAAGTTACCATATGGGGGAAGCAATATTAATTACTGTATATAGATATATATCCATTGTGGCAACTTGATTCAAGTTCCTTAAATCCCTGTATTCCCCCAGTTTCCATGTCATTTTCCATTTGATTCTCCATTGTAGGGTGATAAACCCTAAGCCCTAAACAAGTCCCTAAGCCCTAAACCCTAAATCCTACATAACCCCAGTATACTGTATAGTGGTTTCCGTTTTCTTCTCCATTCTCCCTATAGAAGCCCATAGTACCTTATAATAAACAGCAACCCTGTTTCGGAGGCCGTCATGCTCTTCGAGATGACTTTGGCTGCACACTCGCTTGGGCGATTTCGCTGCCATGGCCATGGCTCTCAGACTCCCGAGGGTCAGGACAACTCGCAGGACACTCCGCCCCAGCTTCAAACGCTTCAGCCAACGCAAAACTTGGTTGCTGTTAAAGAACTTAGATGAAGTTGCCATGATGGGTATACATAGTAATTAATACGGTTTCCCCAATATAGTAACTTAAATTAAGTTCTTTAACAGCAACCCAGAAAACAGATAGTAGGCCTCAAACATGGAATGCTCCCATGAGGTGCTCTCGCAGCTGCTTTTGGCTGAGGCCATTGCAATGAAGTGGCTCGAAGGCTGAACCTCACATGAGTAGTATTTCTTTTGGTGGTTGAACCCCGTAAGATTGTATTCCTTTTTTAAAATACTATACCCAAAAGGAGGATATAATCTTACTCTATAGTGGGTACCAGAATACCCCGAAATAAAATACTACTCACATCTCATTTGCAAAGAGATAGCCCGCTAGTTCACGACTAGGCGCTACCGATCGATGTGCGTGCCATGGCATAAGGAACCCTCAGTCTGTGAACAGAATACATGGCCCCAAAACCCCATTTGGCTATCCTTCTTGTACGCTTTATACGTTTGATAAGTCGCGCTCTAGGGTAGTATCTCTATCATCCCTGGGTGCCTGGTGAATAAGACAGAGGGCACCTGTAGGCATTCCTGATACGTAGAGATTTCTAGGTCTCCTAGGAAACCCAGGGGTATGTGGGGATTATAAAGCGATCTTACTTACGGATAATGCATGCGCATCTATTAATAGATGGTAGATGCCCCTGTTTGCCTGCCTTTATATATACATACATGCTCCCACATACAAAGGACCTGAGTGCGGGGCCCGGCGTTTGATGTCCAACAGCTCAAGGAGGCTTGGAATCTCGGCCCGATTGGCCTGAATTGGGTAAGTTTCAAAGTTGTTGATCACCTGGTAGAGACTTAAATCCTTCACACGAATATTACACACACACACACACCCACTCACCATTAATACTAAATAGTCCCCGTTAGACAGGGGATGGGTAGGAGTGCATATGGATCTTGCTTTACACTACGTTATGCTTGCATCAGGCGCCTGCACATCATCATCTTCATATCCATCTGGTAGCCAGCGTGGCTCTGGGGGTAGCAGGTAGAACTGCACCTGGCAATCTACAGCTCCGGTACGTTGCTTGTCTGGCCGGGGCTGCTGCATCACCAAACTCAGCCCCCTGCCAAGTCGCTCACTTTGCCGGCAACCCGTGCATCATTACCATCTCCCAGAAACCGGATACCTGCACTTCAAGATCAACAACAAAACCAACAGCTATAATATACCATAATAGAGTATAATGTAGTAGTTTCCATTTTCTATTCCATTATCCCTATATAAACCCGAAATAACCCCAATAGATGAAGACATTCTCATCCTCTCAAGTCTCTCCTGCCAGGAATCTTGCTCAGCATCTTAACTCTGACTGCAGTAGCGCCAGCTGCCCAGGTCTGTACATGCCCCGCTTCCAGTGCATCTTCCACGCACTTCGAGCATACATGGGTCACCTCTTGCCATTAGCAAGCGGGACTCATCCAACTCAGTCCGCATTATCCGGACTAATTACTGGGTACCAAGCAACGCGCAAGCAACAAAAACATTATCTGTTTGTTAGCTAGATGTTGCGAGGCGGACCGTTTACCCAAATGCAGACCCAAAAGCCGTAAGTACTCCTGGTCTTGAGCTACCCAAGCAAGTCAGCATCACAAGCCCGTAGTTTCCAAATCAAGGCCTCCCAAAATCACATGCAAAATGCCAAAAGTCCTTCCCAATTACCACCAAAAAAAAACAATAAACCCTAAACAAGACAACTGCCACGGGCCTGGGCGTCCATTTTTCAGGATCTATAAAACTACATAAGGGGTATATCATAGAGTTATGTATTGTTGTTCTACTTAATTTGGTTATGTAGGGATTATATCAGGTTATACGGGGATACTATCCCAACCAGCAATTTTTAGGGCTTGGAACAAGCCCCGCAACAAGTACTGCAGGGATAGCTCTTGTGATGCCAATGTAACACCAATATAACCCTCAAATAACCCGAATATAATCCCAATATAACCCTATACTACCCCAAAATTACCCCCAATATTACCCCAATACTACCAGTAAGTTCTCAGATCTCCCGCAGCTTCTTTCGTGGCGGCGCTGATTCCACGTCCACCACCTCCAAACTCCATGCCTTGCAGCCGGGCTTGATCCAAAGCGTATTATAGTCCCCCTTAAGTAGAACATGGGGGTTATATAGGTATAATGGAAAAGAAAATGGAAACTACAGGAATTATAGAGGTTACATAGGGATTGTAGGGTATATATTGCGGTGATATAGGGGTTATATAGGTATAATGGAAAATAAAATGGAAACTGCTACTTAGAGTTTACCATTTAGAGTTTAGGGTTTAGGCCCCCTTCAGTAGATAGAATATGGCTTTGGGTATATTAATAAGATCCCCATATACCCCATACTCTATCTACTTAAGGGGGACTATAGGGTTGAGAGTCCTCATAGGGCAAAAAGGCTGCTGCGAAAAGGGTTCTCGTAGGTCCCATGTTACAATCTAGCTTAGTGTATATAGTGTATATAGGAGAACGTCGAATACATCCTGAGTCGCTGCTCACCCCAGCCCTGTACGTACCTGTGCGATGCTGAGTTATACCCGCATTTCGTTGGTTTGACTTCTGTGAGCCTTGCAACCAATCACAACTTGTACGTTTGACAAATGAAACCCTGCATGACCTTGAGTAAGTCTGCTATGCTACCTTGTTTGCAATGCTTTGGGTAGCTAGGGTCATGGAGATTTGCCCATCACATGCCAGTGACTGGCACCCGTCTTGCCGCAAGGACCCTGTTGTTCGGCACGACGCGATTTATAATGGATGCAGGCTGAATAAGCGATTACTCTGTCTCTCATTTACACTAATCCCCTCCCCATAATATGAAATCTTCCCACCCCCCTTAAACTTAAATCTTCCCACCTCCCTTAATATTAAATACTCCCCATTGTGGTATAGTATAGTATATTAAGCACATTTAATTTCAGGGGGGTAGGGTGGTTCTAATGTTAGGGGGAGGGGATTTATGGCTTTGCGGATTTCATGTGGGGTGAGTAGTGGCCGTACTTAACGAGACATGCCTACGAGATCAGCATTGAAGGAATGAAGCCATCGCTGCAACCAGGGCGCTGTCGAAAATCCAACTTGCACCTAGGGACCACGTACAGGGACTCACAGCCAAACAACGGGAGCTGGCTCTTGTTCTGTGCCTGCTTCCTTGACGCTCCATGAAAGCCACTGAAAACCCTGTACAACTTGTACACTTTTGGGAGCCCCTCTGAGCCTATAGCAAGGAATTTTGCATGTGTGGACCCTACTTGCAGGTTCATGGATGGTGCTGAGTAGGGTTTTCTGGATATGTTCCCAGTGCATGCTAGGCTCATTCTCAGCCTGCGGCATCGTTGGAGGTGGCTCTGACCTGAAGTTGGCGCACTTATGCAACAACACATCCACCGGCAGAACTCGTCTGACTTCAAGCCAGGCTGCGCCAGAGCTGCCTTGCTGTTCTTTTCCGCGACCTGGATGCAGGGTGCAGCTTAGATTTCTGCCTTAATACGTGGGTGCCCTCCTCGTCATCCAGCTCCATGGCAGCAACAGTGGGCTGGGCGGCAAAAGTCGTCTCCTGGAGAAAGGCAGGAGCTCGTTAAGTCAATAATGCTTTGCAAGGGATGGGTGGCTTCAAAAAGACGGGGGATTGGGGGCAGAAGCCAAGAAACCAAGCAGGGGCCAGAAAGCCCGGAAGCCAAGAAGCGAGCAAGTCGAAAAGCCTAGAAGTCGCAAAACCAAGAAGCCGCAGAAGCCAAGAAGCCGGAAAGCCGGGAAACCAAGCACCCAAAAAAAATCCATACCAAACAAAAATACTCTTCCCTTTGCAGGCCCTCGCGGCGAATCAGATAGCAAGATTTCATCCGTAAGGTTCTCCTGCCGCAATTTTGCTGGCTCGCCCTCCTGCCCGGACACATCGGAATCTCGGCGCAGCTGGCCCTCTGGCACTGGCTCCTGTCGTCAACGCGAGCTGAGACATGGTGAATTGGATTGTATTACAATCAGCTGTGGGTTGTTTATTTAAGGGTCTCTGTATGAGGAGGGGTTTGGTCTTCAATTGGTCTCCAATTGGTCCCCTAATTGGTCCCCTAATTGGTCCCTAATTGGTCACCAATTGGTCCCGAATTGGTCCCTTGATTGGCTCCGAATTGGTCCCCTACTGCTGCTGCTCCTCCTTACTACTCCTCTTACTCCTACTCCTACCTCCT